CATACATCCGACTCCCAATCCTTTAACATGGCCATCATCCGCTTTCGCTGGAAAGCTAATCCTAAAAGGATTTACCTGGTTGTCTAACTGATGTAACTAGGCGACAAACATCCACCCTGTCGCAGTCCTTTGCCACGGGCGTACTTGCTCTATGTGTCACTTGCTTTATGAACTAGTGATTCCTATCGGTCTGTAACTGCACCAACTGTCATCACAAACAAATTGTGACCTGACCTTGCTAGACGAGGTTTCACATTTTAAGTTCAATGGCGAATCCAATCTCTACGTCGCTCGCCATTTGGGAAGGGACGTACTGAGTTCATAGTGGAATCCGTCAACGCATCACCGCTTGACATTCCTCTAATCTACTTGGTTCCCACAAGTGAACACAAACATAAGGTGGTTTTTACTTGTTGTTCATGTCTGATTAGAAATCAGAATCTTTTGTAACCAAAGGTTGCTTATGGTTCATCTGGTAACCTTACATATTATCCATAGCCCTTTTACGGCGCTTGATCTTATGTCCTACCATGAACCATTGCTCCCATCTAGGATTACTTCGATATTTACTAACCATGCAAATAAATATCAGGTCTCATCTATTGCATATACTAGGCTTCTGCTTGCCATGCAAAAGGACTGCCTCTGTATTATGCAAATAAAATGAGCCTTATGACAGTCTGTACAAGAAAATTGGGATAATCGCAACATATCTTTCTTGTGATGCTCAATCTCAAGAATATCTGTTGATTCCGAATCTTTCATGTACCACTACTTGGATAATCATACCCTTGCGTTTGTCAACATTTTCACACTGTCTCCAGTGATCAAGATGTAGTTTACGCATAGTACAAAAATACCACCACTCTTCAATTGCGCCACACACAATGCTCATTTGGTGAATAATCAAATCCATGATTCGAACTTATCAACCAAATGATCGGTCCACCACAGTCCTTTAAATGGACTTTGTCAGCCTATTGACAATATGCTTTTTAGCTCTTTTCCAATGAACATTTCTGGGTGCTGCTATATGGATATTTCTACAAGACTTCCGGTTAAGGAAAATGTCTTGACAACCACTTTGCCTAACTCATAACTCATATGAATGGCATCAGCTTTAAATTAGGCAATCGGTGAAATAATTAACACATAATAGATCCCGTTCTTTCTGAGTTCACCATTTCACATCAAGCCTTTATATGTACAGACTTAAACACGGCTACTGGTGAAAAGCTAACTCATAATAGATCCCATTCTTTCTGAGTCCGCTATTTCACCACAAGCCTTGTACTGAAGTCTTCACTTACAGATTTCGTCCAATAGCAAGTTTGCTACTTGGTAATTCTATAAGAACCCAGATCTGATAAGAGTCCATGACCCTAAATCAGAAATCATTAAAACTTTGCTAAGTTTATGCATCCTTGTCTTTTTCCTCATTGTATAACTAGGGATCGATTCAAGTTTACTAGAGACTAAGTCCGAGACTTTCTCAAAACATGAATTCCATGAACTTGTGATTAATACAGACTGAGTCCAATGACTCTCTTATTATCACGAATGGAGTTATCTTGCAACCCTCCCACTACAACAAGGTTCCCTCTGCAAAGGTGTATAGCACAAAATACGTGTTGCAGTTATTTCCTTGTGGTATCACATTTGTACAGTTGGTAATAAAGTTGAACTTTACCTTTATCTTTCCTTAAAACAATTCTACAAATGAACATAGTGATTTATTATATAGTATTCCTCTAAAAATTAGAATTCGCGCTAACGAACATATTCTGTCTTTTAGTACTATAATAATCCACTCATTTCTCGTTACCATGAAGTATCCCACAAATAGCCTAATTTCCGAACATCCTTTCCAATCTTATTAGTATCAACTTTCCAGCACGTGCTGAAAAGCTCTGAATCCGAATATGTTCCTGACAAGGCCTAAGCCTTGCCAACAATTCATTTAGAGTAATGACTACTAAACTTAGATAGGATTATGTTCAGAACTTATCCTGCTATTTGCACAACTCCAATACGAAAAAGCAAAATCTTAATAACTCATCATTGACATAACCAATCTTCTAGAGAGACATTTTTCCTTCGGTCTGTTGCACCGTCCTGTTCCGATGAACCAGGTGTAACACGTTGAGATTGAATCTCAACATCCAATAAGTATTTCTATGATTTTCCAAAAGGTATTAGTCACTACGATTTCAATCGCAATGCCACTGATACATTAAAGTCGACACCTTTCCATAACTGCCATTGCACTCTTTCGATGTACTCAAATTTATGGAATGTCACTTAATGTACCCTGCTTTGAACAAATTTCTCCGACGAAAAATATTCAAAACTATCTTTTATCCTAAAATCATAGAACTTCACAAATCGGATGAACCAACCTTAACATTTATTTAGCTTATAACCTCGACCTTCAAAAAGGTCATTATTGTGATTTTAGCTACCAAGTATAATTCGTAGGTCTGATAGTTTCATCCATTCCCAAAGAACCCATGAGTTCAATGGCTATCTACCTTTGAATTCTACTAATACTAAAATCCCAAACACTAGATGCCAAGTAATGTAATGATTCATTTATTGAAGGACATTTCTTCTTATTGGTTCTAGTCGATGTGTCATTTATTGCACTGTGAGATATTTTGGCTCCTTGAGTTTACAAATTGTCTACCCACGTATCAAATGGATAAAACATCTCGTTTTTACCCATACACAATTTAGAAACTGAACACGAGTTCTTTCTAAAACTTGGTACGAAAAGACAATTACTCAAAACCAAAAAATTCTATTTAATAAATAACTCCCACTGCAATAGATGCTACTTCCGTAGCTAGCCCATTCTAGATGGTAATTCAACCTTCACATGTCGATTGGCTCACTGAAACCTTTTTACATAATTAGTGGTTACGTATCTACATACCAGGCACTGATAGATAACACCACTTAAAATGCTTCGACTTCCCAGTGAATAAGATTTACCTTTCTTGTATTAAGGATAGGACAATTCATCTTTCTATGTCTATTTCGCTTAAACCATATACACATGCCATTCGGCTTGTATTCTTCAGCAAAACTAGACACTATCCAAGTTCTATTTCTAATCATGTTTGAACAAGTAAATTATCTTTGAGTATTACGGACAACAGATTGAAAAGACATTTTGAATTACTGGGATCATGCAAACATAGTCTTTACTCAGTCAAGTGTTTTTGAATCATCAAATATTGATCCCTTCAAAACAACATTTGAATATATTCACCGGCACCTCAAAACACCGAATCCCCGCAGGCCACGGAGTGTGGACGTCTACGGTTCAAACCGTCGCAAGAGGAGGGATAAATCCCATTAGCTTAACGTACTGCCAAGCAATACTTAACTAATAGTCGGTCGAACTTTTGGCCAGCGCAATCAACTTATAAATAAATTTTATAAGAATGAAAACGACCTTTTCCTTTGGGAATATCGTAATTATTTGCACTTTAAGTGTAACCCATTAATTGGTACTAAGTTTACTACCAAAATTATACGTCCACCTTTGGGTGACCCGTACGCTTTTGAAATAGCTCACTATAACCATCCCGAAGGAGATTCGTCCCTGTGAACTGTGAAATAAAACGTCCTTTGGGCTCGATTTAAATCACTTCACTGACAAACCTATAATGGAGGCCTTGGATGTTATTTATTTAAACCCATTCCACACTTAATATAATTTTTAGTTTAAAGGGATTTTCTTAAACATGCTCCTAATAATTCAACTTGCACATTTAGCAATTAAATCACATTAGGACATGCATGATTAATAGGCAATAATAAACGAGGAACTAAGATCCAACTATCATGGCCATTTTAATCAATCCCCAATCTTTCGGGAAACGCAGTCTAGTCCTTGTTGAACTGGGTCTTCCGATTCAGGACTTGGAATTTCTTTTTTCGTCGTGACTCCCACTTTTCGTCTTGAACAAGTCGTCATCGGGAAAGTCACCATCGAGTCTTCTCTGTTGGCGTGTGCCTACTGCCGCCGTCACCCGTACTTCTGTTGACCTGGGTCCGTACGTATCCTTCTGCAAACACCTTAACAATGCTCGTATCTGACAGCAAGCTGCCTACGAGTATGTCTGCATTTG